AATCATGAATAGTTTTAGTTCATGCTATACAAATTCATGTCCCTTCTCTCAATATATATATGTGTGTGTGTGTGTGTGTGTGTGTGTGTTTTACCATTTCCAATAAATATTTTTAAAATACATAAAAAAGAGTTTCTTAAAACCTATTAATAATAATTTCTTATAAACGTATATATGCACACACACATACGTATTTATACATTTACTTTTACTTAAAGCCTAAAATGAAAATCAGATGGCGCAGTGTTCACGTCATGTAACTTTTGTTCTGTGAATGGGATACGATTTCCAGTTTGGCGTATGCGTTAAGTTTTTTAATTTAATTAGTGTACAATAATAACGGTCACGCTTGTACTTAAACTTCTGTGGTGTTTGAAATTGTAATGTTGACATTTTCAAAAATGTCTCAGTCTACTCAAGAAAGCAACTTCTTAGGAGAGTTGGACTTTTGCAGTGAATGTGGTGCCATTTTGCCATTACCTGGTTCTTCAGATGTAGTAAGCTGCAAGATCTGCCAATTTAACATAGATGTTCGGAGTAAGAAGACCGTTTTGTTTTTTCTTATATTCATAAACTTGGTCTCTTTAAATAAAAGAGACATATCTGTAGAATAACTCCTCACAATCTTAGTATCCTCAGCAAACTTATAAGAACTTGTATACAACTACAACTTGCAAGAAGCTATAGAGATTTTGAACATAAAAATGCACTGTAATTTATTTATTTAGTGAAAAGTTTTGGTTTTTTTTTATATTGTACAGGGAATGGATACCAGAGTGTCAAAAAGTTAATGTAACAACATCTAAAATCTATTTTGGTTAGAGGAAAGAAGCATTTACTTGAATATTATCATACACAATTGGAGGAAGGAGAGAGAAATATAAGCAACTATTGTGCAGATTCTAAGACAATATTAGAAGATTTCTCTGGACAGATTTTGTTTGTGAAGAAAGTGTGTGGAGAATCCATTCCCCATGGGGACCAAATAGTACAGTCTGGTACAGAACAAAAACAAATTGTCCGAAAAGAAGACTCGAAAAACCTCTTTAGTCACATTTTATCAAATGGAAAATATTATTACATAACACCACTGTTTGATTTTCATGTGTACAACACAATTAACTTTCTGTTCATTTTTTAATTTTTCCAATAATGTGATGACATTTATCTTAAGATGTTCAGAGAATAGCCACTAGGGTGATACCTGGGATGATGGGATTGTCCTACGAGTAAAGACTAAAATCTTTAAACTTGTTTTCTCTGGAGAGGGGAACAGTCAGAAGGGATTTGATTGAAGTGTTTATGATGATTAAGAGTATTTTTGTGTTTAGCAGTGAAAATAATAGGACAAGGGGTCATAAATTCAGGTTTTGGCAGCATAGGAGTCATCTGCAGTTTATACAGTATTACTTTTCAAACAGGGTGGTTAGCTTTTGGGATGAGCTGCCTTCAAAGGCAGTGGAGGCAGAAAATTTAACTGAGTTCAAGAAAAAATTGGATGAATACATTAGTAGTAAGGAGTGGTTATAGTTTGGAGCTGGAAGGGACATTCTTGATGGGCTAATAAGCTCCTTTTTTGTCTCTTTAAAATTTTATGGAGTTAAGTACTAAGCCAATTGTAAACATAATGATTTTTAACTTTAGCATATTCAGTGCCCCAGAAAAGTTTAATGAGATTAATTCATATTTTACAAAACATAAAAGTTGATACCCATAATCAATTACAAGTATCTTTAATTGAGTGAAAACATAATTCACTATTATCAACATCTACTTAGAGCTCTTTCTTAAATTGTGTTGCTTATTTTTAAAATAAACTTCTCTTGTTTTTCTAGCATTTGATGGGATCGAGACGTTCTCTCGTATAGTCTTCAATGATCGAAAAAAAGCATTAAAGGGTTATGTTGACAAGAAAGCTGAAGACAGTGCTGGTCCACTTGTGAGAAACTTTTTTTTATATCCCAAAATAATAAATATTCACACTATCACTTGAATTGTTGGAGACCCAGGAACTCACATACTTGGATAAAATAGAAATCCTTTATTTTTTCCTAAAATATTAAATATTAGAATTCATAATTTTCTATATTGCATTGGTTTGCCCATGATGTTTTCCTGCCATGAGGTTCTCCTTATTGTAGAAGATATATGGTGTAGATCTCAACAGGTTGTTGTCTTCTAGTACGTGGTGCGATCTGTAAATTGGTACAGAACATTTCCAACTGTAACTTTGTAGGAAATAGTATAGATTTTGTATAGTTGAATCAAAGTAAATGCAGAACGAAGATCTCGGGTTTTATTGAAAACTAACATTAAGACAGCAACACAAAAGTAATTATAGCCTGCTTCACCAGGGCACACTATAAAACAACTTTCTACATCCCCAGTGTTAACCTGTGTGTGGTTATGTACAAAGAGCACATAAATGTGAACATTGGATTTCAGTATTTCTTGTAACATAATTAAACTTTGTGTTTCTTTCGTTTACATTCTCTAAAAATGGTAGTACTAGTAGTATTTCTGTGAAAATGAATCAAGCAGGAGTAAATCCTTTAAATGTTTTCAAAAAAGAAATATTTAAACTATTATTTTAAAAAATGGATAGTGATATGGTAAAACTTATCTCCATGTCAAACATCAAAATTCAGCAGAGAGTATGTCAGATACTTAGGAAGTTATATTTGAATTTCCGTATTATTGGTTAACTTTGGTCAATAGCATGTAAGCTTTTTTTTTATACATTTCTGTTATGACTGCTTTTTGCAATAGGATATGGTTAGAAACTTTTAAATCCATATATATTATATTCATGTCATGTATAAATATGTATTATGAATTTACTGCACTGAGAAGTTAGTTTTGAAAATACTAGTTTTATTTTAGAACAAGGTATTTAAATCTTTTATAGTATTTTAAAAACATTTTTTTATGTTAAAGAGAAGTACTCAATTTGGCCTTTGATATAAAAATAGGACAAAACAATCTGCGGACAACTTACAACCCTAGAATCCGGGTTTCGATAATCGTGGTGGGCAGAGCACTGATAGCCCTTTGTTTTGCTTTGGGTTTAACTTCAAACAAACAAAACAATCTCTCTTTTTTTTTTATTTAAGTTTATGGTAGACTTCATGTCATGCATTTAAATTTTTTAGAACACTTAGAGAAAAATTTTCATCCATTTGGTAGTTGATATTTGTTTTTATTTGAAGACAACGCAAGACGTACATTCTTTACAAGTGATATCATAAAAATCTCAAAATAATCAAATACAATTTAAGTTTCTGTTTCTGCAGTTGCAAGGTAACTTATAACCATGGTTGCAGACATTCAATGACGGCTGCGTTGGTTTTATTGTCTTGAAATTTTTACATGTTCTACATAATTCCTGTACGTTGAATTTGAAAACAATATACATTTTTCTCCATCACGTACAGATTTTTTCATAAAATGTCGTATGTACTTTTACATAAGTGAATCATTTTCATTGAAATCGGGTCACATTTTGTTATGCTTAAAATGTTGACTATAGATTTCTCTAGACCAATCACGACGTGAGAGTCTTATAGATCATTCTAGAACCCACAAGAAACACACCACTAGTATATAAATGATTAACAGGTTGCATGATGTGTCATTTCTGGACATTATTTTTTACTTTTCAATTTCATTTATTCATTGCTATGGCAACAAGAGGTTGTGTAAATGACCCAAACATATTCTGTTATATTTGTGGTAAATTTATTGTAAGTTTGATCTAAGTGAGAGATTTTTCTTCTTCTCAAATAGTAAAAAATCCTCACGTAATAGAGAAAAATTAATATTATTTTCAAAATCTGCATAGCTGAATTATGGAAAATCCATTATTAAAACCAAAACAATTTTTATGAAGTTTAAATTCGTAGGCCTCTGTAATCAATTATCAAATTTCACAAGTTGCCCAGTTCTTAAAGCTGCACAATAGGCTGTCTGTACTGTGCCACTTCAAAGGTCAAACCCCTCAAGTTTAGCCCTAAAATGTACCAATGAGCCATTGGGATATTATTGGTATGAAAAGTCTTCTTCAGAAGACATCTTCTATTCCAGAACATTTCATTGGAGATTTACTATCTTAGCTCTAAATAAGTTACATTTGCAACCTGTAGGTAGTGAAAACTATCTACAAATATATCAGTAGCTTCATGGGATTTGGAAATCTATGTTTTGCTTAGAGTAACTTTAAATATTTAACTTGTTAAGAACATTACTAGATGTAACACAAAGATTTTACAAAAATAATATTTTAATTATAAGAACTAATAGTTGGATTCCACATAAAAAGGGTTGAATGCATTATATTAAAACAATTTTGAACGTGCAATCAGCAAGTCACCTGATAATCACAACAGGTACAAAGTCCCAGTGGAACAGAATGTATCAGAACTACATTTTGCCACCACAAACCTCTTGTCTTCTGGAAGAATATGTAGCAGCCCTTTCCAACAGAAAATTATTGTACACTCAGGTCATAAAGATATGTTCAGATTAGTAAGTTAGAATTTCCCTTGTATTTATTGACATTACAAAACAAAAGAGATAAGGATCAACTTAGAGCACCAGGACCATCCAGAAAAAGACCTGTAATAAGTCATACACCAGTCATGATAATCAAAATGAGACATCTTGTAATGGGTGAGAATCCAGGAAAACAAAGGTCAATAGCAAAATCCATTCACTTTAATCCCAACGATCAGTACACAATATAATGAAGATGAATTTCTGTCTGGAAAAACAGCATAAGTCACATGTACATGGATTGCTTCCACAATGTATTTGTTCAACTAGAGATTGAAATGGGTACTTACACTGTTCCATATGAAGACAAAAATATCACTGGATGCAGCACCTATGGATTTCTGTGCAATCCAACTGTTGAAATGGATACTTAGAACTGTTGAACTCTTGTACTAAATGGCTTATGGAAAGCATGAAGTGAATGAGGGTAAGCTTTAGATATGAGAGTCTCACAATAGAGCATTTTGCTATGAAAACAATGGTGTGGAACTATTGTGAAGACATATGGTCATCAGAGAGAGCACGACTTGACGTACCAACGTGGACTGTAACGATGTGATGATATAATGTACTCAACCCGTGGACATTCTGCTTAAAATAAATGTATCTTGTTGCATGTGATTTTTCTTCAATTTATTAAAGTTTAGGTAGGATTTTCTCAGTAAATAATATCTGTCATATTTTTTCTTATGTAGGTGGATAGAAACTGTTCAAAGTGTGGTCATGAAGGGATGACCTATGCAACTCTTCAAACCAGATCTGCAGACGAAGGACAAACTGTTTTCTATTCCTGTCCACAATGCAAGTACGTGAACAATACAGAATTAGTACTTTAACAGCAAATGCAATAATGAATTATAATCCTTAATTTGTACATACTTTAAAAAAATTAACACTATCATCTAATAGACAAAGTATTATCATTAATTTTTTTATTCGTGCTATAATTTAACGGTGATAGTAAATTAAAAGAGTCCATTTTAGAACTTTTTTTACCTTTGTGGACTTTTTGAATCCAGTTGTGCTAACAGAATTAATATGTGTAGTATACTAGTAGATGAATTAACTAATTATCAATGATAATATTGTTATGCGGTCTTTCGTTATCATAAAAACCTACTGTGTTTTTGTTGTTTTGTTTTTTTTTCAATAGAACAATTTTAATACTGCCTCGTGTTCAAGTAAATTTGGAGTTTCAGTTTCATTTCCATGATGCAAAAAAACAACTGTTCCTCCAAGAAATCACACAGACAAGCAGTTTTATAACATAGATTGGTATCTAAGTAATACTTTCATTACTTTCCAGAAATGTGAAAATTGATATAATGCATTTACTTGAGACCTTCAATGCTAAACTCAGCAACTTAGCTATGCATATCGTATTATGGTAAACTCTAGATAAATGCCTAAGGTTGCAAAGGTTTCCAGTGATCATCTAGTTAGCAGACTAAAGAATATTTAAATTATATTATTTTTCTCTTGACGTAAAACTCAGCTCGACCTCATTTTCACGTAGTAGAGCTCTGGATTTCAGAGCCAGATTCAAACCTGTGCTGTACCACAAAATATTCCCCTCCATTTAAGCCATAGGTGCATTATAAGAGTGACAGTCAATCCCTTAGCATGGATGGTAAATTGTTGTTGACTAGCCGTTGTCCCTCTACTCAGTAGTTCAAAATTAGGGATGATGGCAGTTAGCCTTAGTAGCTCTGCCATAAATACAGAAAACAAATTCATTTTCATAAAAGAAAATATATAACAATACTGAACAAGAGTAATGTGAAATCATAAGTTATCATTTCTGGCTGATTTTAAACTATTTCCGGTATGTTTTTTTTGTAAAACTCAAATTAGAACTTTTATTATCAGCTTGGTTGTAAAAGTAATTTTGATGCTATTGTTTAAATGTTTTTATTTATTGATTATTATTAATGACAATAATGATCATACAAAGTTGAGAAACTATCAAAAATGTGTTTAAGATCTGAATGTTTACTGACTAAAGCAGTAAACACCTGGCTATGAATGGCATCATGTTGTATATGTTATGTACAATGGTTTTGTTTGTTTGTAAATAAGCACAAAGCTACACATTGGGTAATCTATGCTCTGTCCACCACGCGTATCAACAGTCTGTTTCGAGCGTCTCGTTTCTTACTGGGGGGGCTCATGATAAGATAGAAGAGATTAAGCATACACCATCATTATAGGCACGAAAGCTACTCATACATGGTTATCGTCAGTCAAGAAATGAAATTCGATTTCTTTCTGCTCTCGGTGTCAGGGTTAATCAAGTCCTATTATCTTACTGATTATTATGGATAAGAGTTGTTGTACGCACTTCGACTGAAACTGTGACATAGAAGTAGAGAAACCTCAGGAGTAATACATAAGTAAAAAGGTTACTGTTCTCGACTGTATGAAATATGTAAGGCTGTTTTGGTGGTTTCTGAATCTGTTCAAGCCTTACCAGTTGTCCATTGTAACCTAGAAGTCACAATGTTGAATACATATGTAATTATTACTTACAACAAATACATGATGATGTACATATAGATTTACATTAAAGTTCAATAATTGTTTTTTATACATTTCAGGTTTCAAGAAACGGAAAATTCATGATAATATAGACTGAAGAATGAACGTGTGTGAACTTTTCCGTGGGCATGCTGTTTTATGTATTCAAATGAAATATTTATCATGACAATAATATGGTTAGTACATGTATACTAGTGTACAAATATCGGTATTTTATGCCCCAAAAATGTCTTTTTTTTGGACTTTAATAAACGTATTTTTAAGAAGTGAACATCGAGAGTTGTAATAACACAGAAATGCTAAAGAAAATTAATACTAAAACTTAAATATGGCTATTTTCATACACACCAACATAGTACTTGTATTTTCTGAATGGTATATTTTATAGTCAAATGTCTACTGAAGATTGTTGTCAGTGATTAAATGTAGTGAAATACAACTTTAAAAGAAATTATTAACAGTACAGCTATGCATACACGAAGCCGAACAACGAAAAACTGGTAAAAGCACAAGTAGTAGGAGAAAATGAAACTGAAAATATAAAATTAACTATTTATCTAAAGCAAAAAAAAAAATTAGTATAAAATTATTGCAGCATTGTTAAATGCATAAGCTACTGAAATAATAAGACCTTAAATCTAAAAACAGTGACTAAACAGTCTTCATCATTCTTTTATATTAAAGATTTTATCCCTCCAACTACTTACTCTTAACATTTGAGATTTAGCCAGTATTTTTACCAGCTTTGGACCATCACTATAATATCAGTAGTAGTAGTATATTGATGGTGGAATTAAATAGTACAAACTATGACCACTAGTTGATTTTATTAAAATATTTGAACTTGGATGATAAAAGAGAAAGCTTTATAAAAAATAAAATAAACAAAAAGTTACCATGTGAAATTTTGGATTAGTCCTAGCTGTACCGTTATGTTCTAATGCAACTTCCTTTTGTAAGTTAGTTATATGGGCACTAAGTACACGTATGTCTCGTGTTAACTATTTAAAAATTCCAGTGACTCGGAATTAAGCTTGAAAGCATATAACGTTTGCTAAAAATCGGAGTTCAATACCTGTAATGGGCACAGCACAGATAGCTCTCTGTGTGTACCTTTGTGCTTAAAAAATAGTGGACATTTCATCATTCTTCTCTCAGTAGGATTAGATGTCTTATGTCATTGTGAACGTGCAGTATTAATATTACAAAGTTATTACAATGTTGCTTAGACCTAGGATGCATACTTATTAAACTTGTATTATCACAGAAAAACAAAAGGGAAAAATTATTTTCTAGTCATCTTAAAGTTACAATGAGCTTATTTTTCCATATTGAAAATAAAAGAAAAATTACTTAATATTTTGTAAAAAATATTGGTATTTCTGAACAAGCAAACCATCTTCATATCTCAAAGTATATATTAAGCATTTTTCACAAGTGCACAATTTCGATTTTAAGATATATATGTCTTATAGAGTAACATAATTTTATATAAACTAAAACTAAATGTTGCTTGTTTTGAATCTATAGAACTAATATGAGGAATAAAATTGACTCTGATAGCAAAGGAAAGACTCAAACAATAACCTTTACTGTTTCATTATACTTGAGAAGTCGCAAGGTGCTGTGTCATATTTACTGTAATAGTGGCTAACCTCTTTAATTTATTTCTTCAGAACTAATGACTGGGAGAGCAAAGGAAGATCACCCCTTCACAGAACAAGAGACCAAAATCCCAGTGCAGTATCCCAAAATCCTATATTGCCTACATCAGTGATCATTCTCATTACTTGCAACCAAGACAAAAGGGGGATTAACTCTCATATTATACCAACTTTAATAAACCATTATATCATCCTGTTATTCAGGTGCGTCCCACTCGCCCAGTGAAGCGACAACTCTGAAGCTTGGATAAGCTTTGTCATACGTTGACTATGGCATATAGCCTGGGTCCAAGATGAAGATTAATACAAGTTTACAATTATTTGCATTCTGTTCACAAGAACACGTGCATAAAAAAAAAAAATTAAATTATGTAAATAGAGCTGAATAAAAGATATTTTTTAAATTATACAAATATAGTCGATTTTTTTTAACACTACACGGTTACAAATGACGAAAATGGAAGAACAGAGTGGCCTTACAAAACTAATCCTTTACATTCAAATTCGATGACGAGGAACCCACTTTGAGACTAATAATGGTTGGAGATGGCTTGAATAGGTAATGAAGAAAAAC